TAGTTTCTGTCCTCATCATCTTAACAGCTTGAGTCAGAATTCATGATTAAGGAGTAAGTAGTTAATATTTATTCTTCAGAATCTTTCAAAGAAAACTTTACTTTTCTGAGCCTTTTCTCCCAAATATTAAACACTGCTCCATGTAGCAAGTTTTCCTCTAACTTTTTAGGACTGTAAGCTAGTACAATTTCCCTACCTCAAGCGATTTTCATCTCAGGAGCCTCCCATTTAAAGATTATCCCATCTGGCTACAGCAAGATGCCAGATGAGGGCAATGGAGGATCTCTTCCCCTCTGAGCCATCTCAGCCTAAGGGCAGTGGGGTCTAGTCAGGTCATCTAGACCACCTGTGCCTTTGAAATACATCATCCCCCATATTAGACTACAGCCAGGGAAGAGACTAGAGGATTTTGTTTCAGAGAAGAAGAGGCAGGACCTGATTTATAAATGCACAGGCTGTCTTACCAGCAAATGAAGAAAGAGAAGACAGCGTATGCACCTAAGGGACAGGGAGGAGTATTTGCTCCCCTTTACAGATTGCTTCAGACTACTCTGAATGTAACTTTTACTTGTTCAAATTGCATTAGCAAATAATTAAATAGCACAAGGAAAAGTGGCTTACATATGGTTTTAAGAACTGTCAGCCTATCCAGTTGGACTCAGGCAGGAAAAGGGCTGTTTTCCCCTATACTGTATGATAGCAAGCTCCATATGTAGTTGAAATTGTGAACAATATTAAACCCACAAGAAGCTCAAGCTTGGCAAATACGTGTACATCTGCTCCCTATGAGTGGAATGGGGATCTGCTCCCTATAATGGCAGGTTCCTGTCCCATCCGCAGTCCTCAGCTGTGCCTTGCTGCCCGCTCTGACCTGTGGCTGCAGTTTCCAAGTCAGCCCTGCCCAGTGCTGCTTTCCTCCTGGAGCAGCAAGATGGGCCATGCTGGCCAGAAATAAATCAAACACCAGCTCCTACTTAAGATCTGATGAAATTCTCCATTTCCGCTCCAAATTGAATTCCTCCCGAAGGATGGGAGCTGCTCCTGGGAGTAATGAAGGCACTCCTTCCTCCTCTGCTTGAAGCATGTTTTAAATTAACGGACACAGCATTCTAATCTGGCTGGGTAGGTAGCAGTAAGAAACAGTCTTGAGAAATACTTTTCTGGCCAGACATGATTTCTTTTAAATTCTCAAGGGGCAGGCAGCAGTCATCTGGTTTGCTTGGCCTCTATAGGAGGGAGCCTTCATCATACTGGTGGTCTTTTAGGAGAGATGCATGTGTCCCTGCACCCCTGGTCTGCCCACCCTCCTCTTCCTCCTTCACTGGGAGCAAAGGAAAGAGAATGTGGGTGAAGAATGAGAACCAGAGGGCTTGTGCTTTGTGTGTGTTTGGGGGTGGGTATATGTGTGCACGTGTGTGTGCGTGTGCACATGCGTGCCAGTAACCAGTATGAGGTCCTGAACTCAGGGCCTAGATGCTGTCCCTGAACTCTTTTGCTCAAAGCTAATGCTCTACAATTTGAGCCACAGTTCCACTTATTGCTTTTTGGTTGTTAAGTGGAGGTAAAAGTTTTTCAGACTTCCCAACACTGGCTTGGAACTGTGATCCTCAGATCTCAGTCTCCTGAGTAACTAGAATACAAGCATGAACCACCAGCGCCCAGCTGAGCTGTGCTTTCTGTCACTTTGCTGCCCATCTTTCATAAGGAATGCACATACATGCAAGCGCGCGCGCACACACACACACACACATACACACACACACACACACACACACACACACACAC